TCATGTTCGAAGGCAGTGACCGGCTTTAAGTTAGACCGAGCGCGCGTCTGATAAACCCTAGCTTCGACGCTGTCGTTACGCTGGCACTACTTACGTATAATAGAACAAGAATATCTCCCTAGGTTGAACATATTGCTTGTAAAGTTATAAGGCAAATTTATTATGTTATTCTTCGAAGACATCATCCCGACAGGAGATTTACTATTTCTTCACTTTACATGATAGCCTGAACCCCGATCCCGACCCTTGTCATCGAAATGCACAGGCCGAAGTTCAAGTTTGAACTTTCTAACTTGTAGAGTGCTGTTCACAGCCACGGTAAATATTTTGCCCTTTGATCTTACATGTTGCGAAAACCAAGACGGTTGGATGGATCCTCGATTCAGACTCTGGGCAAAAAGGCGTGCCAGTGAGCAAGAGCGGTCTGAGTCTGTTAATATTCCACAGCTCTGAGTCTTATACTTGTCGGAAGTGAGCGTATTGCAGATAGAAGTGCTGTGTCAAGACATGATGTATGCAACTGGCACATCTCGTAATCCATGATCTGAAATGGTCATACAGCCTAAGAAGATTCATGTCATGAATATTACATACTCCGGATGGTTCTCCCGGATTCCATAGTATTCTTTCACTTTCTATATACCTCCGTATACTCGTAGGATATTCTAGATATTCAGTCTGACATGTATATAAGGAGGTCGTACTGCTCAATAACAAGCCAGACTCGGGCTGGTCTTTACTCACCCACTTTCCTCTCATCTGTCTCCTCAGCCTTGTCGTAGCCCAGTCCAGTTGGATTGTAGGTTGCTGACATTAGCTCGAGTCTCCACCAACTGCCCTATGACGATCCTCGTCACTCCCACTCCAACCATCACCCATCTCCACACGACGATCCACCCAATACACACATCCGACTCTCACCCTAACTCCTAACCCTACCAAATTCTATCGCATCAAGACCCGGACCCCTGGAACCCTTTTCCGTGCACTTGCACAACTTTTACCACATCACATCCCCGAAGCCACCTCTGTAATCACTAGCCCTTAGGCGGCTAGACAGAGCTCCGTCCAATTAGAATCGTACCCTGCCCTACCATAGGCGGCGTTATACGCTTTGCAGCAGGCAAGCGGATATTCCTGAGTACGACGTGGCAACCAGTTGCAGCCGGGCGTCGGAAAAGCGATAACAGTTAGATCAATGATCCCTTTTCGGGCGTCAGACTGAAGAGAAGCAATTGCTCTTTGGACTGTTATATTATCTCTAGAACTGTATTAAGATAGCGTTTTGGTTCTTTTTGTTGGATTTTGGGCTCGTGCGCTCGCACGCACATGTCTCGGGATGACTCAGATTCCTATTGGACAGTATTTTATTAGATAGCGCGTTCGTTATTTCGTTCCTGACTCACCAGTTGCTAAGGCACCTGCCGCTTTTCTTATTTACTTGCTTTTCCCTGTCGTGCACACTCAGAGACTTCCCTTCTTCTGAGCGTGCGTATATCCTCTCATTATGAACACTGTAGGGTACTGACTGTATTGCAGTACAGACTGAGCGTCCGTTCTGCTAGGTAAATACATCTTAGAGACTTCCCTTCTTCTGAGCTACGGACTGAGCGTCTGTTCTGCTAGCCTCAAGCGCGCCCGACAGTCGAAGCCAGGCCCTGCGTGTGAGAAACTCACTGCGAAGAGTTTCTAGAGGTTATGAGCCCCGAGAGGCTTTGACTTTGTCGCTGTCAGCTCTCGATCTTCCCTCGTCTCTCATTTCGGTTACCGGTGTATGCCGCCGCGTCGTGCTAGTCCACAACGCCCCTGTAAAGACGCTTCACACGTATTCGACAAGGACGACATTCTTGATCGCTGGTACAATCCGAACGCGTCTGACAGAACTTTCTGGGTTCCCTGCAAAGATCAACCTTGCGCTAATCGAGAAAATCGTCCTCTTGGCCAGTGTGACAAACCTTGGGCCGCTCACGTTGATCAGTTGCAACTCACGCTCATTGCCAATCGCGGTAACACCCCCTCTTCCTCGACTGTTGTCCTCCCAAACACCCCACCTTCCGGCAATCCACCTGTCTCCCGGTCCACTATGCCGAGTGTGGCTGACACGATCCACAAGGCGTTTGGATCTGTGCCTACGCTCAAGGCAGACGGCACGAACTACCGCACATGGGTTCAGCGCATCAACTTCGCCGCACTCGGATGCGCGTGCAAAGCGCTGTTAACTGCAACACCCATTCCGTCCGACAAGGAGGAAGAAGCGAACGCGTTGCTGGCAGCCATTGCGGGTAAGCTGCCCGATTCCATCTTCATGAACATCTCGGGCACTGCAAAGGTTCCCAACGACATCATCAATGCTATGAAGACCCGCTTCGGGCAGACTACTGCCGTGTCCGAGGCAAGCGCCCAGAAGCGCCTGTTCTCGTTGCATTGCGATAATGAGAAGAAGATGCAGGAGCATCTGGATTGTCTTCTCGCGCTTAAAGAGGAGATCACGGAGGCCGGAATTACCATCGAGGATAAGACTTTCACGGACGCCGTTATCGCCTCTGTACCAGCCTCGTATATGTCTATCGTTCAGGCATACGAGTCTTCCATTCATGTCTACAATGCCACTAATCCTGCAACTAAGCGGGTGGTCAAGTCGACCGAGCTTCTCCCGCTATTGCGTGCGGAAGCGCAGTCCCGCATGAGCATTGCACGGTCGAAGCCGAAAGAGGAAGTTGCAGCAGCGATTGACTCTTGTGGCAGGCGCGGCAAGGGCAGAGGCCGCGGCGGCGCTAAGACCGGCAGCGGTGCTGGTTCGAGGCAAGGACAAGCCACTACGGACGCAAATATTACTTGCTTCAAGTGCTTAGGGAAAGGGCACCGGGCCAATGTTTGCCCGTCGAAGCAGCAGGTCAAGAAGACCGGCAACAGCGCGAATGTCGCGCAAGGAGCTTCTTCATCCTCTGGAGACAGCAGGGGCACATCTTCGGGCACCGCCAAACCTCCCGCAACAATCGCAGCCAAGATTGTTGAGATCGAGGAGGGCTGGATGACCTCCAACGAAGGCTTGATGGCCGACCAGAGCATTGACGAGGGCCTCACAACCGCGTACAACACCATGGTCGATGTCTACGACTCCGGTGCGACGAACCACATGACACCTTACCGCCATCTCATGTTCAACTACCGCGATATCCCTGAGCGGATGGTGCTCGCTGCGGGAAAGACTTCGTTTGCTGCTCGCGGCATTGGTGATATGAGAATTGTGGCTCCTCTTGGTGACACACGGGTGCGCATCTTGCTGAAGAATGTGCTATACGCTCCGGCTATGCACGCGACCCTGGTCTCGCTTGGTCGTTTTGATGACGCCAAGCTGTACTCAATCATTGGCGGAGGCTATTGTCATGTCGTACAAGCTAACGGCGCCACCGTTTGCTCAATCCTGAAGGTCCGCGGTCTCTATCGTGTTTACCACGAAGAGGCTACGCTCGCCGCGTCTGTGCTTGCACCCACGTCTCCGAAGCTGTCCCTCTTCCAGCTCCATCAGTATCTTGGGCATGCGTCCTATGGCTACCTGAAGAAGATGATCACCGGTGGCATGGTCCAAGGACTCACCTTAGATCCAGAGCGAATGGACGAAGAAGAGTGCGCCGTGTGTATGCGCGCGAAAGCAGTGAGGAAGCCAATCGCATCGCAACGCTCTTCTCCGCGTGCTGAGAACTTTGGTGACGTTCTTCACATGGACGTCTGGGGTCCTGCACCAGTGCAGACAGTTAGCCACTGTCGCTACTCCCTTGTTCTTCTTGACGACGCTACACTCTGGCTCGAGGAGTCGCTCCTTCGCTCTAAGGATGAGGCATTTGCAAGATATGTTGGCTATGAGGCGCGCCTGTACACCCAGCACGGAGTGACAATCAAGGTCGCGCACTCCGACCGTGGTGGCGAGTTTCTCAGCCAAGACTTTCTCGACCATCTTGCGCGTCAGGGCACAGTGCAGAAACTCACGGTGCATGATACACCGGAGCATAACGGCGCCGCGGAGCGAGCTCACCGCACGATCCTGAATATGGTTCGCGCACTTCTGATCTCATCTGGGCTGCCTCGCACACTTTGGGGCGAGGCTATGCAGCATGCCGTTTGGCTGTACAACTGCACACCGCATGCTGGTATCGCTTATCGGATGCCGTACGAGCTGCGCTTTGGGAAGGCCGCCGACCTCTCGTCTTTGAGGCCTTTTGGCTCTGTTTGCTTTGTCAAGCTCAAGGACGTGAGCAAGCTCGACGCAAAAGCTGTCGAATGCCGCTGGCTTGGCTACAACTCAACCTCTAACGGTCTCCGCATCTACTGGCCTTCGCAGCGCAAAATCTCGGTCAAACGCGATGTTGTCTTCTCGTCTCAGGAGATTCCACTCCTTGAGGGGGAGGATTACACTCTGGACGAGCTGCAGGATGGTGACTCGGCCAAGGAGCAGAACTCCAACGACGCTCAGCCTGTTCCAAGCCCACGCGATGATATTCGCGACGTTCCTAATGAGCCACCGCCACCGCGCCGCTCTGCACGCCTTTGCGCTTGCTATGGCGATTCTGCGATGACTCTGGACAAAGTGGACGACGACGTCTTCGTTCTGGAGACCACACTCGAAGCGGCACACTCGGAGATGCAAGGAATCGACCCTCAGACGCATCAGCAAGCTCTCTGGAGCCCGAACGCAGCTGATTGGCAAGCCGTCATGGACGACGAGATTCAACGTCTCGAGTCGCGCAACTCCTGGGTGTACGCTGACCCACCAGATGGAGCCAACGTTATCGGCTCGTGCTGGGTGTACCGGACAAAGCGCGATGCAAAGAACGCAGTGAAGAGCTACCGTGCCCGGCTTGTCGGGCAAGGCTTCACGCAAATCGAGGGTGTCGACTTCTATGCAGACGACACATTTGCGCCTGTTGCCAAGTTGGATTTGCAACGAGCGAACGCAGCGCTCGCGGCGCGGCGCGGCTATGTCATAGGGCAGAAGGACATCAGGTCTGCTTACCTGTATGGACTACTCAAGGACGACGAAGTTATTTTTATGCGTCCTCCACCAGGTGTTCTTCTCAAAGGCTTAAAGCCTGGCCAAATACTTCGTCTTAAGGTCGCCATCTACGGGCTCCAGCAGGCGGGCCGATGCTGGGCTCTCGTTCTGCACGGCATTATGGCCGACGCCAGTCTCACACGCTCTGAACATAATCACGCCGTCTTCTTCCACCATCTGCCTGGAGATCATGTTGCAATTACCTCCTCGCACGTCGACGACCTCACCCTCATTGCGCCGGACCAGAGAGTACTGCAGCGGATGAGCAGCAAGATCGACGCACGCGTTCAGGCAACGCCACTCGAAGAGCTTCATTGGCTCTTGGGTATGGAGATCTCGAGAGATCTCGAGAAGCATACGGTTTCGTTCTCGCAAGGCGCGTATATTGATCAGATCCTCAGTCGTTACAACTTCGAGGACCTGAAGCCGCTTGCTCTCCCTATGGACCCGCACTTGCAGCTGTCCAAAGAGGACTGTCCATCGACACCGGCTGAAGTCGCAACCATGCGCCACAAGCCCTATCGCCAGGCTCTCGGCGCCCTCATGTACGCCGCAGTCGCAACTCGACCTGATATCGCATACGCAGTCTCGCAACTCGCGCGCTATGCTGCAAACCCCGGCTTGAAGCACTGGAATGCGCTTCGGCGCGTGTACGCTTATCTGAAAGGCGCGCGCAATCTCGCGCTCACACTCGGCGGCAATGACACGGAGCCCTTGGTGGGCTATTCGGACGCAGACGGGATGTCGACCGAGGGCCGTCAGGCTGTCTCGGGCTACGCGTTCCTCATTGGCGGCGCAATCGCCTGGTCTTCGAAGCGCCAAGACATCGTCGCGCAGTCGACCTCAGAGGCTGAATACGTTGCGCTCTCGCATGCCGCAAAGCAAGCCCTCTGGCTGCGCAATTACCTCTGTGAGGTGTGGCGCATGCCGCTCGACCCGACCACTATTTACTCGGACAATCAGAGCGCAATCGCCCTGGCAAAGGACGACCGCTTTCACGCTCGGACGAAACATATCGACATTCGTTACCATTTTATTTGTTATCACATCGAGTCCGGCAACCTCGTCGTCATCTACTGTCCTACCGAGGACATGGTCGCTGATACCCTTACGAAGGCTCTGCCGTCTATGAAGGCCAAGCACTTTGATTCCGCCCTCGGCCTTGCAAAGGCTTGAGGGGGAGTGTTGGATTTTGGGCTCGTGCGCTCACACGCACATGTCTCGGGATGACTCAGATTCCTATTGGACAGTATTTTATTAGATAGCGCGTTCGTTATTTCGTTCCTGACTCACCAGTTGCTAAGGCACCTGCCGCTTTCCTTATTTACTTGCTTTTCCCTGTCGTGCACGCTCAGAGACTTCCCTTCTTCTGAGCGTGCGTATATCCTCTCATTATGAACACTGTAGGGTACTGACTGTATTGCAGTACAGACTGAGCGTTCGTTCTGCTAGGTAAATACATCTTAGAGACTTCCCTTCTTCTAAGCTACGGACTGAGCGTCTGTTCTGCTAGCCTCAAGCGCGCCCGACAGTCGAAGCCGGGCCCTGCGTGTGAGAAACTCACTGCGAAGAGTTTCTAGACTTTTTTCAAAAAAACCCTATCTTCGGCGAGTTCTACCCCTGATCTGGTTGTTACAACACGATTAGTCCCAGGGTTTGCTGCAATCAGCCACACAGACCCGACAATCCATGACCACGCCTTCTTGTGATTGCAAAGGACATACGCATCGAGAACTAGAAAAGAGATCCATCTACATACGTGGAGATAACGTACGGTACTGTATGTAACAACTGTGCCCACATTTCCCAGACAATAGCAGTCATTGTCCTCGGTGCAGAGAAGGATTACGTGGAAAACTGCTACAAAGAGTTCCCACAGGAGCACCTTCAGAATCCCTCGCAACCCTGCAACCCGTAGCATCTAGTTCAGAACCCAGAACCAGACAAGATACTCTTGAATCAGTCACCGACCATCTCTGCTCAATCGCCCTCGGAGAAATTGAAGCACTACCAGAGGGCCCACCAAACCCCGTGAAAGAAGCGGTAGAAGATTCTGAACATTTGGATCCACCTTCCTGACATTCTCCCACCCCACCTTCATCTCCATCCGATCCTGGCATGATGGCCGAGAATCAAGACAGTGCCGCGTTCCTAAATGGAAGCGCGATGAAACCCGACGCCTTTGACGGCACAAAATCCAAGTACATCGCTTGGAAGACGCAGATGAAATTGTATGTAGTCACGCAAAGGAAGTGACTACCAGAACAATTTGACAGGGTCCTCATGATCTTGTCTTACATGAAAGGTGGACATGCGGGCGAATACGTTGCCACATTCATGAAGAAATATGACACGGATGAAAACGCTGTGATACAGACCACAAAGACACTGTGGGAAGACCTAGATAGGCACTTCCTAATCGACGAGCAGGCCGAAGCATATGATCGGCTCCAAGCAATGCAGATGGGAATGCTATCGGCACAAGAGTTTTTCACGAAGTTTGAGTTGTGCGCCTTCCAGGCGAATATTCACGACTTCGAAGCGCACTTCCAAGAACTTAAGTCTCTTCTGAAAAAAGCACTCCGGGCCGATATCATCCGGCTTTTGTACAACTCCTCGGAGGAACTCCCAACCACCTACGCGCTCTACAAGTTACGGATCGCGCGCATTGACCTTAACCAGCAACAATACCGCCGAAGAAACCCACAGTCCTAACGACAGAGACAGTTCCAGCCAAGACAGCAGCAGGCGCAGAACACACCACAAGCACAAACTAATGAACCTGTGCCAGCAGCTGCTACAGCACCAGTTCAGACACGGTGTGACGGAACCGGTGTCACCTTCGGAGGCAGGGGACAACCGATGGAGTTAGATCAGGCGCGGCGCCAGAGTCTCTGTTTCTGATGTGGTCAACAGGGCCACATATCACGAAATTGCCCTAATCGGCAACAAGCTCAACAAGTATGAGCTGCAGAAACCCCGGTAGTTCCCACTACCAATACATTCACGCCACTTGCATCACTCAACAAAGCTCCTGCTGCAACGGCAGAACCATTTGACTGGAAGACGGCAATTCGCGAAGAAATTCGCGCGGCTATGAAGGGTTTTGCAAGCGGTCAGCTGGGCGCGTAGCCGAGTTGACCGAACGTAACTTTACGAACTATCTGTGTTCTTGGTTTGGAGTAGCCATGTATATACCAGAAAAAGGGGCGTCTGCA